TTTGGGCCCCTGGAGAGAAGGAGCTCTTGAAAACTGTAGAGAAGGCTGAGGGTGAGAGGAAACTTTCCAAATTAAACTGATTTTTTTTCTTTCTTTTTTTTTTTTTTTTTGGCTTTACTGTGTGGCAGAGCTGAATTGGGATTTGGAGGAGAGGACAGGCAACTGAGCAGGCCTCTATTCAGGACTTAAGCCCAAATTACTTTCTCTGGAGAGTTATCTAGAGGCTTTTCTGGCTAGTTGGTGGAAGGCCAGGATGGAGTCCATCTCAGTCTTACATGAGGTTTCTGGGCCTTGGTCTCTCAGTCCCCAGGTATGAAAGTCTGTGTCCCCCCCACCCCCAGCCCAAGCACCATTGACCAAAGCAGGGACTTAGGTGACTGAGAGGGGTTGCTGGTTAACACCCTACTTTCCCTTCCCGCTACCCTATATTTTATTGAGAGGTCTAGGGTGTGCCCAGTGGTGGGAGAGGCAGACCCCTGGAGAAAAGACAAGTGGAAGGGCAATGGAGTAGGGGAAACATTTATTTGACTCCAAGGAAAGCTACAAACAAATACCAAAAGCGAATCACTGAGACAGGCCTGGCAAAGACAGATTTCACACATAGCACAGCATCCACTCGCTCACTACAAATGGTCCTGGAAGCAAAATGGGTAGGGAGGAAGAGATGGGTCTGACCCAGACTATTCCCATATTTACAAGCTTTGAGCCTTCTAGCCAGACCCATGAATTCACACAGAAAAACACAAGACATTTTACACAGGATTATTTCTGTTTCGGTTCACTCCCAGACCAGGCCTTGTGGGGCCTACCAGACAGCAGGAGTTTAAATCTTACTGTTTTCCTTCCCTCTTCTCAACATCAACCCTTTGGTTCTCCCAGGCCTCTTTCCACCCCAGTACCAAGCCATTGGGAGACTTGGGCCTAGGGAGTGGGGAGGGAGGAGGAAGAGGATGGGAGGAGGATGAAAAGAGACCCAGTCATGGACCCCATCTCTGAGGCCAGTTCAGCTAGGCCCTGTGCTGCGGCACTGCCCCAACTCAACTGCTGCTCCTTAGAGAAGTTTCTAGCTGAAACTCAAAATACAGCGATCATCCTTTTATAAATAAGTTAGAACACAGATGGGGAGGGGAGAGTTCACATTAAACATGCGAATTTCTTTTCTTTCCTGGGGGAAGGAGTGCAACCACGGACACAAACATTCAGAAACACTGGCGGATTTGGGGTGAGCAGAGGGAAGTGGGGAGCATGGAGGGAAAATAATAAGAATTATTATTATTATTATTAACAATAATAACAAGATAACCAGTCCAGGAGAGAGGGAGCCACAGGAAGACCTAAAACCAAACGAAAAGTCGTAACACAAGGCTGGGGCGAGGCAGGCTCGTGGGAACCGGTCCCCAGCGGGCAGCCGCAGCACAGGGAAGATTGGAGGGGCCGGGGCTATGGGTGGCGCGGGCTCTTGGGCCGCCCAGGGCTCCTCTGGGCGGGCTCAGGGCTGGAAGGCGCTGCCGGCTGTAGCCAAGCTCATACTTTTCAGTTTGTTGTCTTTCTTCCACTTCATGCGCCGGTTCTGGAACCAGATCTTGATCTGGCGCTCGGACAGGCAGAGCGCGTGGGCGATCTCGATGCGTCGCCGCCGGGTCAGGTAGCGGTTGAAGTGGAACTCCTTCTCCAGCTCCAGGGTCTGGTAGCGGGTATACGCGGTCCGGGCCCTTTTTCCGTCTGGCCCGGTCATATCTGGAGCAGATAGAGTAAAGCCCCGGGGCAATGTTATTCCGGTTAAAGGAGGGGGGCACTGGGTGGGAGGGGGCGGGGAGCAGGACCCAGGCGTCCCCAGCATCTAGCTCACCGCAGCGCCAATCCTCTCTACTCCAGATGCCCCGCATTCAGGCTTCATTTCTGCACCCCCTTCTCTTGCAGCCCCCAATTCTGATGGCAGCAAATGCGCCTGGCTTTGTTTCTTGCTCACTCCCAGTGCCTCACCCTTCGCTGGGCTCAGGCGGCCGCTCGCCCCGGGAGGGAGGAGAGCGGCTGCACTTTTGCCCTAGAAAGCTCCTTTTACTGCTCATCCCTCGTTTGCTAGCGGCAGTCTCAAAATTTTGGGGATAAGCAGGACCCTTGCCCAAATTACATAAACCCCATTCTTCACCCTAAAGCTGGTTACTGGCTGGGCGAATAAAAACCCAAGCCGAGCCTGAGAACAAATTATGTTTTTAAATACCCCCCCAGCAAAAAAAAAAAAACCCTATTTGGCTCTGTCCACGGAGCTGTGAGGACCCTCTCATAGACTTCTCCCCAGCGGAAAAAAAATTAAATCTATATTGGAGGAAAAGCCAAGCTGTCCTGCCACCCCCGCCCCCCTAACACAGAGAAGGAAAGACGAGGAGACAAAAAAGAGACAGAGAATTACCGTGGCTGATGTGAAGCTTCCTCATCCAGGGGAATATCTGCGGAGTCTGCCCCTCGGGCGCGGCTGTGGAGGTGGCCATGGGCTCTGGCTGTGCCCGAGCTAGGCTCGGGCTGCTTAGCTGGCTCGCCGCTTCCTCAGGCTCCGAGGACGCGCTGGCCTCATCTATTTCGGTGAAATTGGCGCTGGAGCTGGCCGGGGTCGCCTGGTCGGAGGGGGACGAAGCAGAGGGCTTGGCGCCGTGGCTATCGCCGTTGGTGCAGGGCAGGGACTCGGGCGAGGACAGGGAGCAGCTCGACGCCGCCTGCCTGAAGCGGGGCTCCTGGGCGGGCGCAGGGAAGGCGCGCGAGCTCTCGCCCACCGCCCCAAAGTGGCTGGAGGAGGCCGAGGAGCGGTTGACGCTGAGGTCCATCCCATTGTAATTGTAGCCGTAAGAGCCGGTGTGCATGGCAGCGGGATCCCTGTAAGAGCCGCTCAGAGAGCTGCCACTGCCATAATTTAGCAACTGATAGTCCGGGCCATTTGGATAACGCCCCGAGAAGGAGTTTACAAAGTACGAGCTCATTTGGGTGATTTTGGAGGGCTTGATTTGTGGATCGTGGTCGTTATAACCCTATGCTTCACGATTTATGATGTATTAATGAATTATAGCGATGCACTGTACTTCGTTTTGCTATGTATGCGGCCAAATATGGGGGGGTTGGAAGGGGGATGGGGGGGCGTTAGGGAATCACGTGCTTTTGTTGACCAGTCGTAAATTCTCGCTGATGACCTCAAGAGGTAATTCATGCTCTATGGTTACAAATAATGACGATCCGAGAATCGTTAGGGCCGATTCAATGCGAACCTCCAAGAGAGGGGGGAAAAGGAGAAGGGGGAGAAACAGGGAGAAGGTTGGCGTTGGCCTCTGAGCAGAGCGCGCCACCTCCCGGCGATCGACGGGAGAGCGGGTCGCAGATAGCCATGGCGGCGGCGGCGGCGGCGGCTGCCTTCCTGCTGGCACCCTGTAACTGCCGAGCAAGAAAGAAACCCGGCTGGGGCTAAACCGCAGGGTTGAGACTTTAAGAGGACGGGCTTGAGCCTTTTGCCCACTTTCTTGGGGGTAGGGCTGGTCTCTATTTGTGTCCTTCTCTCTGCCATTATCATTATTATTATTTTGACTCTGGATGAGATGATCCAAGATTGAGTTGCTTGTTCCTTACTCAGGCTTTGCAAGTCTCCGAGTTGGGGGCGGAAATGGGAGGAAGGATTGGAAGTTGTGTGTGAAAAACTATTACAACGAGTTTTCCCCCGCAAGCTCAGCCAGGCCTGCTTCCTGGCCGGGCTGCAGTGGCGGGTCCACAGCTCCCGCCAAGCCGCAGGGCTGGGTTTGCAGGCTTGAAGAAGCCAAAAAGCCTTCACTCTTCCTGAGCCCCTGGGAAGTTTGGAATTCTCTCCCTGATCTCCTCTCCTTCTTAGCCTTGGCCTAGGAATGGCAGAGCAGGATAGGAACCCCAGAAGAGTAACAGCTGAGGCTAAGCGGCCTGGTTGCCAAAGACTGCAGCGGTCAAAGCCTGAGTGGCTTAGGTTTGGGTGGGAACATGTATCTGAGTCTGGGGTTAAGCGGGACCCCTTTGCTTTCTCCACAGATGCCGGCTATTGCGTTCAGAGGCCCCACTTGAGGTCCGTTGCTGGTGGCTGTTTGAGACTTTGCCCACTGGCCTACCACCTTCCCTGGGAAGGGTTTTGAGGACCATCAGCGCCTTGCTGAGCACGCTGGGCGGCCAGAGATCGCCGCAGCTGGGCCCCTTCTGCCAGGCGACTATTTTCTTTAAAAATAAAAAAGGAGAGGAGGAGGAAGGAAGGAAAGCAGTGTCTGAAACTTGCCGCTTGGGGCGGGGGGCGAGCAGAGAATGGGCCATATTGCTTGAGAGGATGAGACCAAATGCCCCATCACCTGGCCTCCTGCCCTAAGGCTCCAAAGAGCAAAACGTCGGGCCGTTCCCCTCGCTTCACTTTCTCGTACTTGTCACTGAGATCCTGTTTGAAGTGGGCAGGGACACCCTGGAGCCTTCAGCTGCGCAAGGAGAGATGCCCAGTGGCCCCATTTTTTCAGTCTCTGGAATCACAGGCCGGGAGCCCAGGGCCAAGGCTGGTGGAGACAGAGCCATGTGAGCGGACCAAAGGCCAGGGGCCTTGGCGAGCTGAGGACCGAAAGCACTGCAGAGGTGCCCGGATCCGCCCAGCTCGGTCTCCGCAGGGGCTCTGTGGTAGGGGGCCTTAGTGGCACCCCTCCTGAGGCGAACCAGCAGGGAAGGGAAGGCTGGAGAATTAAGAGGAAAGGAAAAAGGGCCCCTCTCCGTGTCCCCCCAACTCTGCGTGGGAAGAGGCGACTGTGAGATTTAGCATCCGCGAGGCACAGCGCTGGGGTCTGGGGCGGGACTGATCGCTCCAGCCTTTATCTCAACTGTAACTTCCAAGTCTGGCGGCTGGGAAGGCCCTGGGGCGGACCAAGGCTCTCGCCTTTACTGCGGAATTCAGGCTCTGGGATGATGGGATGGCTAGGGGTGAGGAAGGGAAAAAATGGCAGGGGAGGATTAGAGGTGACTAAGCGGCGAGTTTTCACGTCTTTATTATTATTATTAATATTAATATTATTACCGAAGTATTTCACGTCCAGAGCTAAGACAAGACTACAAACACAACACATAGAAAATTAATAAAATAGAACTTTGTTTTCTTTTGAGGCTCCTCTTCTTACTTCTAGGTAGTATGTGCTCTTTCCAGTGGTTTTGGGGAGGGGATGGAAGAGACGACAAGTCTGGGGTCAGGGAGTCTTCGAGGCCCCTGCTGAGGGGACAGCGAATCTACCATTGAACCGTGCACGGGGGACATGGACGAAATGAGACTCGACACGGACAAGAGCGTTTGCTCTGCTTGCAGGAAACATCAAGTGAGTCCGATCCTCAGTTCTCACCAGGGAGCCTGATCGGGCCTAGGCGGGTTCTTCGCGGAGGGAGGAGGCGCTGGGGTACTGCGGCCGTGCGGCCTGCCAGCACTCGGCAAGAGCTCAGCGGGCGGGGGCGTCCAGGAGCGCGCAGGGCCCCGCCTGCCTCGCGCTGGAGAGCAGGTCCCCAGGCTCCCCCGCCCGCAGAGCCATCTCCCGGCTCTCCGACGCCCTCGGTTCCCCACAGGCCTCTCCCTTCGCGTCCCCCCTCCCTTTCCAGCACCTTCACTCGGCTGGTTTTTCTTCCTCCTCCTCCGCGCTGAGTTGAGACGCGCTGAGCAGTTTACTCTCCTTTTTCCACTTCATGCGACGGTTCTGGAACCAGATCTTGATCTGCCGCTCGGTCAGGCACAGGGCGTGCGCAATCTCGATGCGCCGCCGCCGCGTCAGGTAGCGATTGTAGTGAAATTCCTTCTCCAGCTCCAGCGTCTGATAGCGCGTGTAGGTCTGACGGCCTCGCCGACCGCTGGGCCCGAAGGAGGAACCTGTTACGCATAGTGAAGATGCTGAGGCCTGGGGTCACCCAGCCCAAAGCCCCCTCCTCCATTCGACCCTCCAACTTGGACTCCAGCCTGTCCCAGGGTGCCCTCCACTCTCCTCATTCCCTGCTCCCTTCCCCACTCCTCCAGCGCCCCCTCCAGATTCCCTCCTGGACTCCTAGGCCTGTGCTTTCTTTCAGGCTAGACTTTTGGTGGGGGAGGGGAGGAGCAATTTGAACTCCCACCTGAGCCTAGGGGGAGGGGCTGGTCAGGTGTGTGTCTTCCTATCTGTATCTTTTCTTTCCTTCCTTTCCATCCATCTAGCTTTCCCCACCCCCGGCCCACCCAATGATAGATTCTAGCCCTTAATCCGTAATGACGTGGATCGATCCACAGGCCACATTAACAGCTCTTCACTTTGGTGTCCCACTAATGGACATCAATTGGGACTTAAAACCGACAAGTAATCCAACCTGAGACCCAGGCGCCTGTTTCTCCTTCTTTCCCCCTCCGCCTACTCCCTCTTATTCTCCCTCCCTCTTCTGACTACCACCCCTTTCTTGGTGCCTCACCATTCCCCAGCCCCCACCCCCAGGGAAACACAGTCCGGGACAGACTCAACTCGCCCTTGCCAGCGTCATGCCGCCCCCACCCCTTGCATGACGCACTCTGTTTTTAATGGAGCAGTCTTTGGGTGGAGAACCTGAACAGGGCAGTGTGTGTGTGTGGGGGGGGTTGACGCATAGGAAAGCAAAACCAGTCATTGGGTCCCCTACCCCCTTCCCTAACCAAGAATCCTGTCTCTGGCCTGACCCTCGGGAAAGCCCACTCACTCCCCCTTGGCTCCCTGCTCAGCTGGGACTTTGCAAACTTTGCAACTCCTGCGGACAAGAGGACAGAGCGGGAGACCCCGTGCAGGCGCCCAAAAATCCCCTATCTCCTAACTGAGATGCCCACCCAGCCCCCTATGGAAGAATAGGAGTGGGGTGTTCGCTAGTTTTACCTCCCTGGGTGGAGGATCACGGGGGACCCGGCGATAGCGGAAAGTGTCACTCACTGTTGCACGAATTCATCCGCTGCATCCAGGGGTAGACAGGAGTGGAGCACTTCTGTTCCTCGGTCTCGCCAAACACGCTCTTGTCCTGCGCGCAGTCCGACTTCCGCGGCTCGGGATGGAACGGGGGCGGCTCATCAGCTCCTGATAGTGCGCAGGCCGACTCCTTCTCGCGGTAGAAGGCCGGCGAAGGCCCGTACTCGCAGGGCGCCGCTCGGCCGTAGCCGCCGCCGGCCGGTGGGTAATAGGAGGAAGCGGTAAAGCCCTTGTCCTGGCCGGGTCCCGGCCCATAGGGCGCGGGGTAGTGCCTCAGCGGGTCCGCATAGCCCGACGAGTAGAGCGGTAGCTGGCCCAAGAAGGACTCCTGCCCGCTGGCCAGAGTGACGGGGAAGGTGGAGTTCACGAAATAGGAACTCATTGGGAGGGGAGGCGCGCACGGCCGCTGCTGCTCCGCCGGGTTTATGATTTGTTGTGTTTTATAGTCCGAGCGCCGCGCCTATTAGTAGTATATCCGAGATTGGGTTTTAGCTGAGGGGGGATGGCGAGGTGCCAGTGAGGGCCAGAAGGAAATACAACCATCTGATCCAACACTGACCAATGGCAGAGGCAGGAATTGTCAAATAGCACCCAGGAGGAGCGCAGCCCGCACGAGGGACCCGCGCACAAACCTATCAACCTTTTTTTTTCCTCCTCCTTCTCTTTCCCTTCTCTCTCTCTCTCTCTCTCTCTCTCTCTCTCTCTCTCTCTCTCTCTCTCTCTTCCTCCTCCTCCTGCTCCTCTCTCTCTGTCTCTCTCTCCAATAGCACAACGCGTCCTTTTCCACCTACGTAGGATCTGCGAAAGAGGCGTCTGTGCCTTTGAGAGACGAAGGAGCATTTGGGTTGAGACCACCCCATTCCCCAGTGATTAAATAAATATGTCCCTCCCCCACACACACCCCACTGAAGATAGGAAAAAGTTAATTGTGTTTTCAGAAAAGTTAACCCCTGCGTTGCTTGGGCCCGTTCCCTCAAGGGAGGGCTGGGTAAATGTCCCTGAATCTCGATGAGGGAGAACTAAAGGGAAGGTTTGTTTCTAGGATTTTGTGTTAGTAGAAAGGAAGCAGAGTTGTCCGCTAATTTGCATTATTTCAGAAACAGACGAAGAAGAAACACCCTCTTTCCAGATTTTGAAAATCGTTTTTCCTGTTTATCAGGTTTGCTCTTTCCCCATCAAGACTGGGTTATTTTCTCTGCTTCTCCACAACTCTTTTGATCTGAGGGGGCAAGCAAGATCCTTCCGCCTAGAAGATCCAGAAGAGGGAGGAATGGCAGCAGGGTCTGAACCCAAGCTTCCTCCTCTGGCTCTGCGGGTAGGCTAGTGGCTTCTCAGATGTCTGCAGCTCCTGATGCCCGAGACAGCCCGTCTGTTTGCAGTATGCAGCCGCTTTCACTCAAGGGAAAGAGACTAGCCATCCCTTCACTTGGGGCTATGGCGTGGAGGAGTAGGGAGGAACCCACAGCCTAGGTGACTTTATTTCTCTGTTCTCTAACCTGCCTCACTCGGTCTCAGCCTCCTGCCCAATGACATAGCAATATCCTGAGCTAGAGATTTTTAGGAATCAATGATGTCCCAGTAAGTCTAAAGTACAGGGAAGAAATTGTCATCTTCTAATTGTGGATCTTGAAACCCACCTAATGATGGAGAAAATCAGAAACCATTGAAAAGATCCCTCACCTCTTTTCCAGGTCTTTCCAGAAGTTGGCAGTCATTTTGAAATTACTTCCTTCCCAAGACTTGGTTTTGGTTTAGTTTTATAAGGAGGGAAGTTTGTCCCATTCTTCCTGAGGACTCCCCAGCCACCTTCCAACCATTTGTGGGCATCCTCTCTCCAGACACTCACACCGTTCAGTCTGTCTCTCAGCCTCTCTATATTTTCTGCAATGTCTCATCCTTGAATCCTCAGCTTTGCTGCCATATAAGCTTGTATATGTGAGAGAGTACATTCTCTCTCTCTCTCTCTCTCTGTCTCTCTCTCTCTCTCTCTCTCTCTGTCTCTCTCTCTCATCTAAGCAAAATGAGCTGGAAGTCCAGGCTGGGACACAGAACCACAATATGTTTCAACATTCTAATTAATATGTATACCTAGGTCAGGCAGTGAAGGGTAACAACCTTCCTTCTGACTTGGGCATAGGAAGGGGCCAGGATGTGAGCAGATGTCTGCGTCAGGCTGGGAGCCATGCTCTTCAGGCTTTTTGTGGGCCAGCTCTGCCCACTGACGATAAGAAAAGGTGGTAGAAGGCTGAGGTTGGTGACCAAAAGTGAAGATTTATTTGGTTGCAAAGTGGCCTCTGAACTTAGGGCAACTTCTAGGCTGCATCTTCATGGCAAAGTGACCATCCCTGGGTGTCCTTCCAATCACTTCTTACCTTGACTCTCTGGGGGTTTTTAGGAGGATTTAAGAAAAGAAACTCAAACCTCCTAATGATGGAGGAGCATAAATACTCCAATCTAGCAATAGTTGAGCTTCCTAGAGAGTAGAGGCTATTAGAACAGGGGTAGCAAGGTGGAGAAGGGTGCTTGCATGAACTTCCTCCACCCTACCAGTGAGGCTGGGCCCTGGGCCTCAACCCACCTCCCTGGTCACCATGTCCCCATCCTAGAAGTAGTCAGTGTGTTCTTCCCTATAGAGTGTGGTCAAAGTAAGAAGTGGTGAGGGAAGAGGACTTCCCTTGTGATAGAAGCAGGAAAATGATTGTCTTATCCTTAGAGTTGCAGCCCCTAAATTAACCTCACCTCTGCAGGTTGCCTGTCTGGAGATGGAGCCACTATGGGCAGGGCCTGGGCGCCTGGAGTCGGGCATGAAAGGAAATAGCGCCTCATCGCTCTTATCTAAGCCCAGAGGTATTTATGAGCGTTTATTCATCTGATCCGTTTGTTTGGGAAAAAGAGCAGGCAAGCAGGGCCTGGCCAGAGACCGCCTGGTTTCTGGAGCCAGATCTCTACGAATCTGTCTGTGGTTCCGTCCAGAGCCATCTGTCTGTCTGTCTCCATGGGGGAATATGTAAATACACAGCAGGCACAGCCAGCCTGCAAGTCCCCGGTGTCTCCCTGCCTCAACGAAAGAGAGATGGATATAAATGTGTACCGACTCTTGAGTTCACAACAGAGTGATTCTCTGGATACCCCACAGGCAGGATTTATAATTGTGATTCTCTGTACTTTGAGTTTGCAGTCCCATGGATAAGCACACACACATTCCAGCTCCCAGGGAAATGTTCCCAAAATTGTGTTCAGCTCAGGAGGAAAATTCTCATGAGGTAACCTCAGTGACCGAAATTGGCCTGTGTGTGAGGGGGCGGTTTGAGATATTGTCCAGGCTTCTCATCCTTGCGTTGTGGGTACCCTTCCCCACCCCACCCCCAACTTTGCCTGGAGTGGGGCAGATGAAACATCTCAATTCTCCCCCTGGACTTTGTCTGGGCTGAGGGATCATAAATGTCCCAAAGGTGCAATGTGGTGGCTCCCATAGATTGGAAGAGGCTCTTACATTGGATACTCCGCCCTAAAATTGGTCCAAATCGAGGTACAAAGAGCTCATTTCCATTATGCAAATGAGAGGCATCCTCTCTGATCTTCTAGGGGGAGTGGGCCACCGGTGGCAATCAGCGCCTTTCCTTCCTTCTCCCTTCTTCCCAGGTCCACGGGCACCCTAAGAGCCATGAAGTATTTCAACCTTCTGTACAGCCCGACTTCCCCTCTCTGCGTGTGTCTTTCTCATTGCCGCAAAGAAATGTCTACAAGGGGGGCCAAGACCTTCCCGCCGCTTCTCTCAGGGCCTCCCGCAGAGCGACTCACTAAGCCAGGCCATGCAGCCGCCAAAAAGTCACTCTCGCTGCGGAAAAGCTGAAAGAGCTGCTCCAGAGGCCCAGACTCAAGAGGCGCCGAGGGCGCGGGGGCCGCGGCGATGGTGTTTGCTTCCAGGACCGACTGACCCCTAGACCTGGCAGCTCCTCCAGCTCCTGGCCAGACCCTGCTAACACCTCGGCTTGCCTGGCACCGCAGGCAATTTCCTGGAGCCCCTGCCCAGGAACTGGGGCCACAGCACCTTGAAAAGAGCGGCCAGAGCTTCCTCCTGCCGCTTGAAAGCCCGAGCTAATCAGTAACCCGTGAGACAGGGGCCAATACTCCAACGCCGCGGCAGGGGCGCGCACCCCGCCCTCGCCACCCCCTTCTGGGAAAGCGGTCGCGTTAGCCGGGTGTGAGGGGTCCGGCAGAAACAGAAATTACAAATGATTAGGGTTCCTTAATGATTTCTGCCCACTCCCACTCCCAATTTCCCCCAAAAGCATATTGCGTCGATTTCGCTTGAAACGATCGAGAATGGGGGAGGGGATCAACACTCACTTGCAGACACCAACAGTTTCCAGAAAACTCGGTTCAATTCCTTCACCACGGACCCACCAGCTAAGGAACTGGCAAGACTCACCAGTCAACTGGAAGAACACAGACTTGGTTTGTCTTTTGACAACCGAGTGGAACTGCCCGGTCGGCGCCTCCCCTAAAGGGCCCCCTCCCTTGGCTGAGAAGAAAACCAAATAAACCTTGAACAGACTTGGCCTCAGATCTCTCCAGCGGCCCCATCCTCTCCCATGCATTGGGTGGTGATATTGGCTCTTGATATTCCACCCGTTTGGCTCAATACCCCCAGTCCGTGAGTTGCAGTATTAGTCCTCTTTAATATGCCCAAAGAGAAGCCGCTTTCTCTGCCAGCCGCCAGGTTTAGGGCTGGGATGGGTGGGGGTTTGGAGGAGACCGGAGAGGTTGAGGATAATGTGGAGGGAGACTTAGCCTCTTCTCCATTCCACACCTGGGAATCAATGTCCGGTGGAGAACGTCGGTGTGGGCCCAAAAGTCCCCGAATCCTGCCGAACTGCACAGACAGGGCTCCAGGCAACCCGTAAGGCTCCAGCAGTGTCGCCGGGCTTATGGTGCCGGAGCCGCGTGTCTCGGAACGGACGGTAGATGGCAGCAAACCGCATAATTTTGGTCAGAGCAAACTGTCCAAAGGACGATTTATAACCCACCAAGACTACAGGAGAAAAAGACCTTTAGTCTGAGTGGGTTGGGGGAATTTTCCCTTTGAGAATTGGCCCCGAGTGTCATGGGTGCTGGCGAAGAAGTTGTCTTGCTACAAAGCCAAGGAATCTCTCTGTTAAAAGGGTCTCTCTGGGAGCCCAGTCCAGGCCTGTGTCTAAGGGCCTCTACCTGGGCCCCTAAGGGCCCCCCTCCTGTGCCACAAGTGGCTGCGTTTCCCTCTCCTCCCCGCTCGGGACAGAGAGAACCAATATACTCATACACGCCCTGGACTCCGCAATCCTGGGGCACAGTAGCCCTGAGGCTGAACGCACTGCATCTGGTTTTAAAAAACAGAAAGTCATGCAAACCAAACAATCACAATGCCCCTGCCCGCTGCGCCCATCGTCACCTATCCCTCTGCTTGCAGCTTTCCTTGGTCCTTTACCCCACTTCTTAGTTCTTGCCAGTCGGCCTGCACCTTCTTCCACTCCTCCACCTACTTTAAGAATCTGTCTCCCGCCCCAGCCATTCTTGGCAGCCTCTCCCCCCAGGCCTGGCTGGGCATAAAATTGGGCGCCAGACAGATAGGACTAGTTCTCTGAACTCAGTGCTAGGGACATTACTGTCCGGACACCATTAGCTTCCCTAATTGGGCTTCTTTCTAATTTTATTCTTTTCTCATTTCTTTTCTTTCATTCTTTTTTTTTATTTTTGTGTACAACCCAAAAGAACAACATGCTAAACAGCTCATCACAATCACCACGTTTGGAGCCTGAAAAGTTTGAAATGTTTCGTTATCAGATACAAATGACAATTTTCTCCTCCACCGAAATTCACACATCCCATACCAATAAAACACAACTAATAGAATCAATATCGCACCGAAACCAACACGCTGTAACCTACCGCGTTAAAACCACAAAATTCTCTTTCTGCAGAGCGAGGCTCCCTCCGACGGGAGTGGCGAGAGACCAGGGCATTCTCGGGCAGGCTTCCTGGGGAATCTCCCTCTCTTTGGGCGTCTCCACCCACAGCTCTTTAATTTCAGAAATGTCTCCGAAGGGAGATAGTGAACGTTTCTCTGTGAATTGTTCTTTCTGTGTCTCTCTAGCCACCTCCTCGCCCTTGCGGGCCTCTGCGGAGATTCCAGGCCCTACAGAGACCAGGACGTCCCTCAGCGCCATCGCCCCTCGTGCCAATGCTGCCGGGAAATCCGCCGATACCCACACTGGGCAAGAAAACCGCGGGGGAAATTGGGGGAGACCGGGACCAGGAAGGAGGATGGAAGGAGGATGGGAGGGGGAGGGGGCACAAACCCACAGAGGCCATAGCGACTGGCTGCTTCTGGCCAACGCCGCTGAAGCCCTGACACCCCATCCTTTCTTTGGCAGCCCCCTGACTTGAGCTCTCCTCCCAGCTAAAAAAAAAAAGGCGACTTGAAGCTGATCTCCGTGGCCCCTTTCAGTTCCTCCTCCCATCTTCCTTGCCTTAGCTCCCCCTCCAGGAAGCAGCCACCCCTCTCCCCACCACCGAATTTCCTGGGAAGCCTCCCTCTGCAGTGCCCAGAGGTGGGGTTCAGCCCGGTTTTGAGTGGGGGGAGGAGGGAGAGGACACCAAGCCCCACCCCCTACAAAAAGCGATGCAAAAGAATAAGAATTGTAGAATCTCCCTTACCTTTGCAGACCTTGGGGATTTTTTTTCCCCCTCCGGATCGAAAAGGGTGGGAGGGAGGGGAAAAAAAGGAGCGTTCGGTTTCTTCTTCAGCTTCCAGATAATATTGTCCCAACCTGAGAGCCGTCGTTTCCCCTTCTCAGACTTGGGAGAGAGGTTGTTTCGCTTTTCTGACATTTGCATAGAAAATGGAGTAAGTTCTGGCTTTGAAAAATGATATCGGGCTGCGGTCCTGGGCAGACTGTCCATTTACCCTTCATGATGACTAAAATCCCAGATCAGCAAGCAAATTAACTTAGGAATCAAAATTATTTTTGGTTCTCTCTTTTGTGTTATTCTCACCCCTCCTTCTCTTTTCTCTCTCTCTCTCTCTCTCTCTCTCTCTCTCTCTCTCTCTCTTTCTCTTCTCTCTCCCCCCTCTCTTCTTCTCCCTCTTTTTCTCTATCGAACTGATATTGAAGTATAAAAATATCAAGAGGCTGGAGCCCTGAAGGACGACAGTGCTCCGACCTAGGTGTGGTGTCCAAAAGAATGCTGCATTATAACCACCAGGGAAATGATAAAAAGTTCATGTTCACGATCGCCCGGCCACATGACCGGCGCCGGCCAATCGCTGGATTCAACCACTCATAAACTTCTATCACAAAGTTGCTCCACCAGCAACCCTTTTCTCAGTCGCCATCTTCTTTTCTTCTCCTTCTCTCTTTTTGGGGAAACCCCAATCTGAAAATGGGTGAAATTTGAGGTGTAAGGATTCGGGGTGGAGAAGCCACAAGGGTCCAGCTAGGAAGGGGGTTCTCTTTGCAACCTCCCTATTTTTCTCAGGAGCTCTACCCCTCTTTTCTAGTAAAAATGTACCCCAGATTCTCCGCATGGGACTGGTTTGAGTCCATTTGGGGGTGAGGTGGAAGCAGCAGCCTGGTGTCGCCAATTGCCATCTGCATCATAGCAAAATGAAATCTTCACTCACCCCTTTTGAATTGCCCCCACATTCCTAGCTCTAGACATGAAGGGACCCCACACACACACACGCACCTGTGAGACTTTTAGCAGTGCAGGTATGGGGACCCTATATCCCCTAGGGCCTAGTTTTTGTCCCAGGAGAGAAGGTGACCTGGATGCGAGCCAAGTTTTAACAACCGAATTGTCCACCTCCAGGCACCCTAGTAACTAAGGGAGGATAAAGCTAGATCCCGGCCTTTCCCGCCCAAACACTGGCTTGTCTTGTCCACCTTGGCTGTGACAGCTCCACTGGCTCTCCACTGGGTTCAGTGGTCCTTAATGGAGGAAGCTGCAGGTTTAGGGGCCTTTTATTTACAAATTCAAATTACATAGATTTTTCCTAAAACTAATTCCCCCCCCCCGCCCTTTCTGTTCAAGATGTCCTTTACATTTAAACCAATTAGGGTATGTAATCAAATAAATACTAAAAATCAGCTCCACAGAGTTAGTTATGTAGACACCGTTCTTCATGTTTTTGTCGGACAATTAGAGGTTTGGGGGAGCAAAAAAAAAAAAAACCTCACCCTGTATTTTCCAAATTCTCTGAAATATTCCCGATATCCCTATTTTGAGTTGGGTTACTGGCGTCCAAATGCAGAAAACGAAATAACCTCCCCCCAGATATTTTTCTTTTCTTTTCTTTTTCCTCTCTCTCTCTGATTGCTCTTGAGAAGGTTTAAGGATGCAGCGACGCACACAGCAGGCAGAAAAGGAAGCCCCGGCGGGCGGCGCGGCCAGGCTCACGGCGAACTGGATGCGGCCACACCAGCCCGGTAAATTCAGCACGGCTCTCCTCCGTGAGACTCGTTTTTCCCCCATTTTTAAGTTTGAATATGGGTCGCCTGCGTCAATTTAGAATGAGATGGCTTAAAACAAATGTAAGTAAAATAAATTGAAATAAAATCACAGCATAGCTCTGGCCGAAAACGTTTGCCGAATAAGCAGAAAACCGAGCGCCCTGGAGCAGGAAGTTGCCCCGGGCGCTGTCCTGGCCTCTGCCCAACCACCGCCAAAGAGGTGGGAGTGGGATTTGGGTGTTCACCTTCTCTTTCCATCCGCCCTTCCTTCTTAAGAGGCCTAGCATTTTGGATTTCAACTCTGTAATTGTGGCTGGGTGCAGCAGAGATCGCGCAGCAGCCTGGTTTGAAGGCCTGCAGAAGGAAGATTGAGTTTGTAGAACTGGAAGATTAATTTTTTTATTTTTGTTTTGTTGTGTTTTGTGAGCGCGTGGCTGAGCATATGGGCTCCCGGATGTATTTTCTTGGGGGCAAATGTGAATGTCTGTTTGTAAGCCAATGTGTGAATGCATGTTGCTTTCTATCAACGTGTCTGTGAGTGACTGTGAATGTGTGTTTACTTGTGAGTGTGTGTGAATGTGAACGCATGTGTTCTGGGCATGGGGCCGGATTGTATGAATGCCTGTGTATTTGTGAGCATAGGAACATCTATGTTTATTTGTGGCTGTATGTGACAGTGTATATTTATGTGATGTCAGCCTGTAAATATGTGTGATTGTGTGCACTTGTGTATGTCATTATGTGTAAAAGAGTTTAAAGAGAATATGTATGTGTGTGGGTTCACTAATTGGCATTCCCCAGAGCATGGGACATGGGGTAAAGAGTTAGATCCAGCACAGAAAGAAAAGTCTGGCAGCAGAAGGCAAGGGGATTCTGGGACGCCCACTCATTGCTAGCCCTGACCCTCCCTGACTCATCCAGACACACAAAATAGGGCTTCTATTTATTTTTAATCTTGTTTTATTTTTCCATCCTTCAAATACACATAGAGTAAAAAGAGCACAAGGGTGGGGGAAGAAGCTGATGGGATCAAGGAGCAGCCATCAAGTGCAAGGAGACACATGAGCTAGTGAGCTAGTTGGTGGGTCCGTGGGGCTCCCTAAAGCCCTGTCAGTGCTGCTACTGGGAAGGTGGAAGCTCAAGAGAGTGGGTGAGCAGGAAACCACATAGTCCAAACCAACCGTCCACAAAGACATCAAAGGGAGCTTACAAAACAGCAAGATTTTACAAAGACCTTATAATAGCAACATAGAAAAGGGAAGGTAAATTCCAGAAAGCTAAAGAACAGGTAGATGCCCTTCCCATGCTGTACAAAAACAAACTCAACAGACTTTCCTATAGGTAGTATTTTTTTACAGTGTTGAGAAACCAAAATTCACCTTTCTCTCTCATTTTTTTAAAAAAACTGCTTCATTTAAATAGAGTTCCCCCCCCCCTCCTATTTGAGTTTCTTGGTTCAGTTCCCATGACTGGGCTTCTCCCTCTTTCATCTCTCTCCTCCTTTGCCCTTTCTCTGCCCCTCACTCTTCCTCTTCCTCCTCTGCTTCAGCCTTGTCCTGGCCGGTGATCCCTGGGCCTGAGGTCTTGTTTTCCTTTTTCCACTTCATGCGCCGGTTCTGGAACCAGATCTTGATCTGTCTTTCGGTGAGACAGAGCGCGTGGGCGATCTCGATGCGCCGCCGACGCGTCAGGTAGCGGTTGTAGTGAAATTCCTTCTCTAGCTCCAGGGTCTGGTAGCGCGTGTAGGTCTGGCGGCCTCGCTTTCTGTCGGTCCCTGTGCATAGAATTTAGGGAAGAAAAAAAAAATGAGTGTGGACAATGCCAAGACGGCACCCATTCCTTTTTAGATTTTGTGACTTGAGATCTGCAGGTGGTTAAAAAACCCTTTTTCCCACTAAACTAGATTCATGCTTTCCATACCTCAGCCCATATTTCATCCCTCCCTTTTCCCTCAGTGTAAACTTTCTACAAGGCCTCCCAAAGGAAACGTTCCAATTTCCATCCAAAAAGTTTCTTTTTTTCAGCCCAACTTCTGACTACAGGTAGATCTAACCAGCTGGCTCCTAAGGGGTGTTGGGGGATGAGGGGAGGCTAATCCTGAGTCACTCTCTAGGACCAGGGGCTCCAAGTCTTCTCTTTTGGATGCTGATTCTGATGGTTTTTGGGGTAAGGAGCCATGGACAACCTACAAGTGATCCTGGAGGGGGCTCCAGACCTACCCTAAGTGTTTTCCAAGAAAAAAAAAAAAAGGAAACAAAGGGACCTCACAGGCCTAGTCTCTGCCCAAGCCTGCTGTGGAATGAGGAGGTGAGAATTTGCAGCTTTCCCTGGAGCCTGGTGCTCTGAGTTGGTCTGAGAACAGCTGTCTTCTGAAGACTCTTTTCCAGTGAGTGGCTGAGGGTCAGTCAGGGCCAGACTGTCTTGTCTGCCAGCCTGTCTGCCCAGACAACCTGGTTCTCCAAAGCAACCTTTGGGCCTACAGTACAGCAAAGAGGAGAGAGGAGAGCAAGCTGCATGGGTTAGGGAGGAACATGAAGGATCTGTTTGGTGGGGGTTGAAGGACAGATAGGAACTTTCAGGTTTGAGCCCAGAACCTGGAGGAGACTTGTGGGGGGGGGCGGTGCTGGTGCCTGTCCTCCTGGGAAGTAGACAGGAGAAAGGAGGGGCTGGGGGCCCTAATTTCAAGTCAGATAAAAGCCAAGCTGAAATGTTTACGAGCAGAAAAATTTGGGCTTTGATAAATCAACTGGAAAGGCAGCTGAATTATGGAGCAGGTAATGGGGACTGTGAGAGAACTGGGCTTCTCTCGGCTCCCAACCCTGACTAGGTTGAGAGCCTCGGACCACAAGTCTTGGGTCTTCTGAGCTTTGGGGTTGGTTCCCAAGTCCATCTGCATGGGCTAGTGTTTAAAAAACGGATATCTGAGCCAGACTTGGCAGATCTCATGGAAGTGTTGGTTATCTTGGGGTTTCTGTAGCAGCTGCTGGGTGGCCTGCACTAACTTTCTAAGTCTAGTTTGGGCCCCTCCCAAAGAGTCAGTAGATAGACTCTTCTGGAATGACACCTCCAAACTTGGTCAATTCTTCAGGGGTGCTTAGGAACCCCAGAAATGGCACCGGAGGAAGCCAACTATACTGATGAGGCCTCTGCTCCTTTCTCTAGTTTCTCCCCCCGCCAAATTCACTGGGGGATCAGGAGCCTCATCCCTCTTGACCTCAGCCTTTCTTCCTCCACTTTTCTCTCTGGCTTTCTGTCCCTGGCTGAGTCCTCAGCTAGGCCTCTAGAGCCCACCTCTAATTGTCCTGATGGGAGTAATGGGGGAGCAGGGTTGGCTGGAAAGGAAGGGGAGGAGAGAACTGCTTAGCGCTATGGTCCCTTCCTCTTATCTTATCCTAGCTGGGGCTGGGGGACACACCCAGAGCTGAGATCTCAGGCGCGGAAGGGCGGGGGGAGAGCGAGGAGGGAGATCCTAATGGCTATTCTTTGCAAACCCCAACCTTCCTCCGAAAGACAAACGGCCTCGTCTCCAGCCCGTGCCGGCGCTACTGATAAATATTTAAAGCTAAAAGGCCGGGAGGAAAGGTTGGGGGCGGGTTGGGGGCTCTGAGCGCCTTGGCGTCGGCAAAGAGTTATCCGCCTGGGGAAAGCAGAGCCAGCCTGAGAGCACCGAGCAAAAAATGGGGGTGGGGGGGTGGGAGGCAGCGCGCAGGGTCGCAGTCCGGGGGATGCCGCGTCCCCAGGGGTGACCTCCGGCCAAGAGCGCTCTAGACGCGGAACGGGGCGCCCTGCCGAGAAGGGGGGGCACCTTCCGGGGGAGTGTGCCCCCCGCCGCTGCGGCTCTGGACAGCTCGATGCGCTGCGTTACCTGAGCTTCGCATCCAGGGGTAGATCCGGAAGTTACTCTCGGCCGCCAGGTCCGAGTCCCTCTGCTCCTTGGCGCCTGCCGCCTTGGCGGCGTCGCCGGGACACACCCCGGAGAGATTCTGCTCAAAGGGCGCGCAGTGCATGTTGAAGGAACTCGGTTCGAGCCCGTAGCCGGCCGCGTAGACGCCGGCCGCGCTCTGGCCCGCCATGCCCCCCCCGCCGGGGTACAAGCCCTGCATCGAGGCGGCGAAGGAAGCGCCCGAACCTGCTCCATAGCCCGGGCGCTGGGGGTTGGAAGCAAACGCACAAGAAGTTTGTTCGGGGAAGGCTCCGGTAGCGAAAACCGAACTTGCGGCTGGATATTTGGAAAATAAAGCATTCGCATAATACAATGAACTCATAATTTGGCCGGATGATTTGTAGGCAGGGACGTTTTAGTGTCGGTTTTACGAGATTCCTTGATATATTACAGAATTAGAGTCCAGATTTACACCAAAAAGGACCCCCTTTTTCCTCTCCGGACCACGTGACCCCGCCCACGTGACATCCCCTCGGCCAATGGCCTGACCGCTTCCCCACGGCTCCCGGTAATGTGGAAAAAATTGTGTGGCGTTGGATTTATAAAATATGATCAATAATGAATGGGAAAGCCGAGCTCTGTGGATTGGGGCTGGGGGCTCAAGGGCCGCTATCGACCTCCGCGGGGTGTAGGCAGCTTGCAGGCGAGATTTGGGGAGGAAGGGAGTGAGTAGAAGGGAAAATAAATAACCTTCGCGTGATCCGTGTTGTCATTCCCCCACACCCATCTTCCCCTGTCCGTTACCGAGTGAGAGACAAACGCAGGGATTGAATGCGAGCAACTTGGTGGGTGGGTGGGGGCAGGTCAGGTCTTTATTAATCTGGGCTAATTCATCCCGGCTGGGCCTTTCGGAGAAGTTGGTGCACTTCTCCCTAGAGGTGAGCCTGGCCTCACAGTTCTCTCTCGGTGCCCCACGTAATTCTGACGGAGATGGAACAAGGCTTCGGTAGGTGCTCCTAGGGCAGGGATCCAGCCCATTGGCGCTGGAAGTGCGGTTTCTGGTAGCTAAAGAAAAGGGTTTGGAAGCAAAAAAAAAAAAAAGGAAGGGGTGGGGGTGGGGAGAGAAAGGAAGGGAGGAGGGCGGCCTGGGTTTGGGCTAGCCGCTTTCCCGGTTCCGGGAGGCGGATGCCTCAGTCGAGCGTGGCTGCCAGAGAAGCAAAGGCAGCGAAGGAAGGAAGGCGGCAAGCCACGGCCTCGGGGCTGGGCAAAGGTGGTCACGTCCCAGAGAGGGAGAGGTGGAGAGGAACATCTCTCTCCTCCTGCTCCACGACCTGAGTCCGAGAAAAATAAAAAAAATATATATAAGCGTGCTCAGCAGCCCTACGCTCCTTCTTTATCTAGGCCCCCCCACCGCAGGACACACTCGAAAACAAAGAGAGAAATGACAAGGGATACAGCCACCAGCCCTGGCGCATCTCTCCCCCAGCGCGGCCTTGGGAGCTGAGGTCTCTCGGGCCCCGCAGCCTCGGAACGCGAGGGGAGGGGGCTTCTCTCAGCTCCCCTCCCTCGTTCCTCTCTCCTCCAATCACGTGCAGCCTCCTCCCTCACCCCCTGCCCCCCTGGGCCGAGGGACTCGCACCACCTGCCTCCAGCCCCCGCCCCCTCCTCTCTGCAACCTAAGTCTCGGCTGGCCCGGGAGCCCCGGGCTGGCTCCCCCCCCACCAGCCCTGCAAGGCGCCCGGGAGCGAAAGAGCTGAGCGGGCCGGGCCAGTCTCGGGTTCTCGCTTGTAAACTTTATTGTAACTCTTCCGCCCTTTTCAGGCGCAGACAACAGAACAAAGTATAGAGGAACAACAAAATATATAATTAGCCCTCCCTCCCCCCCATAAAGCAATTCACGGATACAGGATACATTCTCTTCACAGTAAACCTAAGAACACTTTTAACAATTGCCCACAGCGCGCATGCTAACTAAAGTAATCTCTTTTGAGAAACACTTAAGACGAAATTGTCAAACCAAAGGGCGGGGGGGGGGGGGAAGGGAGGAAAAGAGAAGCAAGAGAGTAAGCCAGCGAGCTAGGAGGGCAGCGGGGAGAGAGGGATTGAGAGGGAAATGAGAACGTGGAGAGAGAGAGGAAGAGGAGAGAGAGAGAGAGAGAGAGAGAGAGAGAGAGAGAGAGAGAGAGAGAGAGAAAGGGGGGGGAGACAGAAAGAATTACGGCGTGAATAGGCAGTTTCATGTTGTTGGGAGAACTTAGCAGAAATCGGTACCTCGGTCATTACAAAGAAGCACGTTCAAAGGAAAAAAGACCATTGCACAAGGAGGCTTTTTACACGGGTAGGGGGTCGGGGGGAGGGGGTTCAACCAGGCCGCAGCCGCTCACACTCGCAGAGCGAGGGAGTCCTTGCTTCAAATCCTTTTTTTTCCCCGGCCCCCAAGAGAAGGGAAAGAGATCCACGGTAGCTCACACACAGAAGCTATTACGAGATACTACCACTAGCGGGGACTGGCGCGGCGGGGGACGCTGCGGTGGGAGGCCCAGCTCCTGGCCCCGCTCGCGGGGCCAGAGCTCTCTGAGGCGGGGAGCAGGCGGCGGCGAGACGAGGTCGCGGGACCCGCGGACGTGCGGACAGCCGCGGCCCTGGTAGTCCCAGCTTGGAGCCTACTTCTTGTCACCCTTCTGCGCGTCGCCCTCGTCCGCCGCCTCTGGGGCCCGCTCCAGCTTCTGTTTCTCCAGCTCCTCCTGCTCGCATTTGCTGCTGGGGAACTTGTCTTTGTTGTTCTCTTTTTTCCACTTCATCCTTCGGTTCTGGAACCAGATTTTGACCTGTCTCTCAGTCAGTCCCAGAGCGTGCGATACCTCGATCCTCCGCTTGCGAGTCAGATAGGGATTAAATAGGAACTCCTTCTCCAGCTCCAGGGTCTGGTAGCGGCTGTAGGTCTGTCGGCCTCGCCTGCGTCCGGCGGCTGCTGGGAAGGGGGGAAAGGGCGAGACCGAGGGAGGGGAGGGTGGGGGAGGGGGCAGAGACAGAGAAGGTTGGAAGATTGGTGAACCAGCCTAGAAGACCAGTATAATAAGGGCAGGGGATCTTCTACCCCGTGCAGGGGCGGGGGGCACGGGGAGGCTGCGGTTGGGGGAGGGATGGGGGGGATCAGACACCACTGAATCTAAGGGAGCCAGAAATGGAAGCCCCCTCCCCTGGTAACCAGCACCAGAGTTGGGTGGGGATGATTCAAATCTATTAAAAGTGCCATAAAGTTTAGAAGGAAAGATGTAAAGGAAGGGGGGGGGGCTAAGAATAAAAAAGCCATGGTGGGGACGAATGGACCCACCTTGAAAAGCCCCCAGAGCCTCTGCCCCAGAAGAAAAGTTTCTTCAGGGTAATTAAACTATAAAGCAATTGAGAAGTGCAAAAGTTGAGCGCCCCCACTCCCACTACCCTTTTTCCATTACCCCCCATAAAACAGTAAAAGGATGGGAGGAGGGGAAGGAGAAGAAAAAAAAAAGTAAAGCTGGGTGAGGGGTTTATGGATTCAGGAAATGTCGCTTAGCGACCCCCCTTCAAGGGAAACAAAAGAGAAAGGGAAGGAAAGCAAGATAGAAAAAAGAAAGAGGGAGAGAGAGAAAAAAGGAGGAAGAGGTAGGCTATTGGAACGGAGCCCACAAGTCTTCCAGGAGCTGGAGAAAATGCGCCCGGGCCTGCCCAGCCCCCTGCCCGGCCTAGGGCCCTCCCGGCCCCTTCCTCCCCCGCTAGCCCCGACGGGAGCTCACCTTGTGGGCGCATCCAGGGGAAGAGCTGTGTGGGAGACGGGCTCTGCTCTGAGCCCTCGGCCTCTTCGCCCAGGCCGCTGGCAGCGGCGAGCTTGCAGTCTGCGTACTGCACCAGATCTGGATCCTGCGCACCGAATAGGCTCTGGCGCTGCAGCGGGTCGTAGCCGTAGAAGTTGCCCGGGTCCCCGTGGCACGCCACAGCGCACGGGTTCTGCTGGTAGGGAGCCGTGGACAGCGACGATGGCCCGTGGTAGAACTCCTGGATTTGCGACGGGTGCTGGAAGCTGCCGCCGCTGCTGGGACCGTACACGACGGTGGGTCGGCCGCCCAGGTCCTGGGCGAAGCCGCAGTCATAATAATTGGGGCGCAGGGACTCCCCGGTTTTGTATTTGGAGAACAGTGAGTTGACGAAATAAGAGCTCATTTTATTGAATTTTGAGGCGGCGGCGGCGGCGGAGGCTGTAGTTGGGGGCTGTTGGGGAGGGGGTGGGGAGGGGGAAAGGGAGGGAGAGAGAGAGAGAGAAAAAAAAAAACGCGGATTCGCCGGCTCCTAGTTACCCTCGCCAGGAAAGGAGAGGGAAAGGGAGGAGGAAAAAAAAAAAAAAAGAAAAGAAAAGGCGAAGAAGATCTCGAAGCCACCACACTTTTTGAGATTTCCAGGAATAGAAAAGGACAGAGAAGCCTCCAAAAGTCTAAGCTTGCATGGCAGCCGCGGCTCGCTAGCCCTCCCCCCACCCCCCACCCCCCAAACAAAAATATACCGCCGCTTAAAGAGGTCCTCGCTTTACATTTCGAAGAAGGGAATGCCAGTTCATAAAGAGTTTTCGGTGATTTACTTCCCTGCAAATGAGTTGTTTCATATTTTGCACTGTCTTTTCATGATCATTTGCATCCATTAGAGACCCCGCATCCTATTGGCTTCTCCGTACTCCTCCCGGACAGAACGCAGAGCGAGGGTGAGAGCGCAGAGAGAGCTAGAGCGAGAGAGCGCCAGGGAGTGAGGAGAGAGCGAGAAAAAAAAGGAGGGGAAGAAAAAAAAAAAAAACACCCAGAGAGAGAGGGGGAGAGGGGGAGAGAGAGAGCGAGAGAGGGGGAGAGGGAGAGGGGGTGAGAGAGAATGAATACGGATTAAATCTGTTTAACTACCTACATTAATGAGATATCTCTCGCCTCACAACAAATCAAATACCTTCGCAGACCACCCCCAAAGAGTGATGTAGGGGAGTCACGGAAAAAACCACGCACTCACATACACAACGCGCCAGGCGTAGGCACGCTGTTAATTTCGCGATTTTAACGAGGCAATTGGAGTCTTTCTAAATGTCAGGGTCGCTTCAGAAAAATGTAAAAGAACACGGTTTAATTGCGCCGAGTTTTAAAAGGTCCTATAAATGTAATTGGTATTTTAATACAAGTTATCAAATCATACAGCTTCCTCTCCTAAACATATTTTCAAACAAACGAGGTAGTCATATTTAAAGCTTTAATGATCAATTTCCTTATTATTGATAAAGGTTTAACTATCGTGTGGAGGGAATTGGCTGGGTAACCGGCCCCCAAAAAACGGCTGTAAACTCTTTAACAAACTATAAAACGCAATAAAGCCAGAGTCTGTTGTTGTTTACGCCGCAGCGCATAAAAGCTGTTAGCATTTTACGAGTTCTTTCCTCTACAGCTATAAAACTGCAGCTTCGATCGCCCCCGCCGCCCGA